AGCTAGGTTATTCTTTCCCTGACTACATATATTGGCACTAGCTTTGGCTAAACATAATGTTACCAGTTGCTTAATATGGGTTTAGCAGTAGGCCTATGTCTACTGATCTGGGTAGTCAGTCGGTTTGTGCAATAGCAGCAGGTTATCAGTACGTTCAGCGCAACTCATAACGGTCGTAGATGGAATATTTCCTCTTCTGCTTGCTAGTTCTGTTGTCATTATGATCATAGACAACTGTATTACGACTGCGTTACATGATGGAAATAATTCCTCCCGGTAACTGATGGACAAACTGGGAGTGTGTGGACGGCAGTGTTTGCCTCGATTCAGCTCCCTTCCATGTACGTGTGGTACCAAATATTCCTGTGTAGAACACTACGTCCTTTTTGCATTTTAAAGCTCCAAGTACTACTGCAAAACCATTGGAGGTTGTTAACTGGGTCGTGGTTACCATATTACTACCAGTGGTTAACTCATCGAAGAAGTAGGGATGTACCAGTAAGGCCTGCTTAGTGTCGTATTTTAACCAGACACAGATAAGGACAGATGCTCCTTTGCTTCTTCAGGATAGAGTAAGCTACGCTGTTGTTACACTAGTGTTAGGTCTGCTCCGACGGAACCGTATATTCAGGAGGTATGATCAGAGAGAATGGCCACTAGAGTACATCACGTTTCATCTCAAACTGCCAGAAACTGTGTGTTTAACCGCAAACAACATAAATTGTTACTTGCATTTATTCCAGATATTCCGACAGTTTCTAGCACTATATATAAATTTATATACATATATATATATATATATATTCACAAGTCTGTATATAGACAAATATGCCATCCGAACCATCGTGGTAGGAAAGGGAGGATATAAAAACCATGGACAAAATTTTCCGTTGCACCCAGACCATTTTGAGTCTTTGTTGTTTTATGCTTGGTTGTAAATTAAAGATTACAGCACCATAAGGATGGTCAAGAAAGTGCTATTATCTAATAACACAATCTCGTGCAGAATGTAAATATTTCTTCAAATTTATGAACGCAATCCTCGAGCACCTCGAACCACACAGGGAGTTCTGGTCAGTTTGGCTTAATGCACTGACAGATATTAGTAGAGAAACAGCTGTAAAATCTCACACAATGTGTTTAGGATAAGCATTTATTGAATAAGTAATTTTTGCGGAGATTTGCAAATTACAACTGGAAAACGTATGTTTAAACGCTTAAGAAAATATATCAAGCCATGGTTCGTTGTGGAGAAACGGTGTCTGCATTTGCAAAGACGAATGTCCATCAGTGTTTGGATACAACGATGGATTTATCATATTTATGCGCCAAGAAAACCTAAGTATTGGTAGCCTCCATTAAATGATTCAAAGTATTGCTCATCTTTAAATTTTATATATATATTTGTTGACTTTTATGAATTGAGACATTCACGTGGATTAGTTCATCGGGGTCGACCCCTTAAGTCCCGAATGTTCCGTAAGCTGTACAACGTAGTGCATTCCGACTATGGAACTCTGCTTTAGCACGGTGAGCTGCGTTGACTTTCGAAGGGAAAGATTGAAAAACGACTCACAAACCGGAATACAGTGCGTGATTTTTTTCTTGATGATAGCAAACTAAACCTTTTCAGTTTCTCTTCATGACGAGATTACGTAGGTTAAAAATGCATTTTCTCTCGGACAAGTTTGAAAAGCTGTAAACACTGAATATGATTTCAAGGTACATTTAAGTATATTGCCAAATTCATACAAAATCAAAGTTCCTGAATGAAAACTGGCGCTGTTAAGGTAGATTTGCAAAAGCTATATTTGATTACTTTCAACAACAATTGCAAAGCAGCCCCAATGAGAATTGAAAACCTCATTGGAAGGCTAATTTCCTTCGCTTCTATTTGACGAATAGGGATGGTTTATCGACCTAAGTGTAAGCTGCAAGGTATTAAATTAGATATAAGCGAATGAAAACTGCTCACTGATTTGAGAAGCTATGAGTTTTACCTTTCAGCATTCTGGGGAAGATATTTGCATGAATTTGACTTATGGTCAAAAATTTACACCATGCATTCGGTAGCTTCAGTATGCTCTGAATTCGGATTAACAGCATAAACAACAATGAAACCCAAAATAGAAGAATACTGAACAATGGCTATGAAACGCGCATTTGTCTGGCGACTGGTACCTGGCGTTGAGTTAGTTAGTGCATGCAAACTTGCTGTCCTATCACTGAATAAAATCTGTGAATCAGTAATATTTGCTTTACTTGTAGCGTAAACTTTTACGTTTTGATACTCAGGTGTGCCACAAAAATGCCGAATATTTTCGTGGGTGTCAACCAAAAAGGGTTGAGAAACGCTACTGTAATCTGTTGCCCAAGAGATATACGGGATTCGGTCCAGTTCAGTAGCAGGATCAAAACATCTCTGGGGCGACAACCTGTTATCGGCGCGATGCAGTATTAGGGGATTCGGCTGGCCGGTCTGTGTCATTTCGACCTCATGAGGTTGTACTCCTAGTAGCACAATGATGTGTGTTCTATTTTCGGGCGATTCTTGGTGTCAATTCTCTACACCAAGTAAGTCACTGTCTTTCATCGTTGAACAATGAGGGGAAATCCCCGGTGCGTTTCTGGACTTCAACGCGGCAGTAATAAGGCTGAAATCTTTCGAGCCCTGGCCATTATCCATGCCAGTAAGAGCGAACTGAGAAGTGTTGATCAGCATTATTCAAAAGATCAGGGAATCATGCAGCTGGTCCGATCCGGTTGCACCCATTTCGTCACATCTGCTACATTGCTACTGCTTCGGTGTTGTGATCAGTGTGTTGATTGGTCCGCAGACCAATTGTTTCAGTCTGTTTTCAAAGGAGCCTAGATGAGCTACATCGTACTGTACCCGTTGGATAGAGGATTCCGTGTATCATTCGGCATGGGGACACCTCACACATGCGGGGAGAATCACAACTCTGCGGACTGGGATCCAGTGCTGTACACATTGAAACAGACGAAATATTTGAGATTTTGGTGTGGAATTCGGGTTGTTTTCATACCCATAGTCAGAGAGAAGTATAAACGAAAGTCGTGTGCAGTATCGAAAATGTCACATGTAGCAAGAAGCCGATCTCCACGGGCTGCTGACTGTCAACTCTGCTTAGGTTAGATCAGCGTCTTACTCCTTATGACCGCCGCCATTGTCGATACTTGACCACCACCACAACATATATACTGGTGTCCATGACGTGATCTTCTCATGTGTTGTTGATTTATTCCTAGAGCATTGGATTATCCGATTGATATCTACCAAAAAAACAAGCAGAAACTACTCTGATTGTTCCAGTTGTTGTCGCATCTGTATTTCACTCTCCGGCTTCTTTTTCTCAATAGACAGGGAATGAGTAGATAGAACACTGTCTAACATCAGTACCTCGATTGATGTTCTCGTTCTTGCATGTGAGACACACAATTACGACACAATTTCCGCGAGACGCTTTAAGTACAGTAAGCGTTCCTCACTCAAGGAAAATGTGTCATACTGATGCGCTTCGATGTATCAGCCCTGGCCCAATGACTTACCAGTACAGCGGCAATATTATTCGAATTGGCTTATGATGCTGTTCATTGTTGTTTCGCAACATTTGGGACCCGTACTGTCAGATGGCTATCTCTCACGAAGCACGTATTGGTTAGGTTAGCGTTCGGTGGCTGACATCCCGTGACATTCGACTAACTTGGAGAAGTAGAGTGCACTTGTAGAATTGTTGGGAGGACCAGAGAAACAGTATGCATCCTCTTAATGGACTTGTTGGACCATTGCAACACCTTTGAGCAGGTTGGCAACGAGTCCTGTGTAACATTGCTAATGGGCAACTGTGAAAACCCCCGCTTCAGGGAATAAACGCGTTTATGCGCTTGCTTTTTGCCCGTTCAATACTGTTCTCCAATTCATCCTCTATACAACCGATGTCGAAATAAACTGGCCGTTGTCGTTATGCTGACAGAATAGCGACATCAATTAGGCCGAACTAGATCACATTGTAAAAGTGCGTAAGGTTTATAGCATACGCTGAGGATTTTTCTGGTCACTCACCACTTCGGATGCAGTCCCTATGATCGAAATAGATGTTTACTTAAAAGCGCACTGCTGTTTTAATTGAATTTGCGTGCTGCACTCCAGACACAGCGCTGGTACTCCAAGGCCCAACGATGAACATGTCTAGTCCTATTTATGGTACCACGGATTATACCTTGAAGATGTACGGTGGAAAACAAGAAAATGGCAGTGAACCAGTAAGCAATGAGATAAATATGCCTTCTAAGATGAATGCTTCGTGTTACATGTTCACAAGATTTCCATACAAATTGTAGTACAGCATTAATTGAATGCCGTCAGAAAACCAACCAAAATACCCCAAGCTTAGTAAAATTTCCGCAGTTCGCCGGTTGGAAAGGCCTATGGTTCACGCCTGACCTATTTCCAGTTCCAAGTGTAAGACAATCAGGGTCCTCTGGGCTCCATATTCTTCGAGTCCCTGATGTTTGTACAATAGGAAACTGAACCAATCAACTTCGGGTTCTATCTAAATTTGTGTCCTGATTCCTCTCCTTACGGCAATATGATGGAAGTTAGAACATCTTCTACAGTAGTTGCTCGACGCTCAGAAAATGCACTGTCGGTGTATTCGACCGTGACACAAAAGGCTAACAAACTCGCAATGAACATTATTTAGGATTACCAAATTTTGCCCATCGCAAATTAACAGACGATGCTTAAGTAATTGGATATGCAGGATCACTCTACCAAATAACTAAACGCATAGAACAAGCAGTAAACAAGCTTGTACTCAGTTAACTGATTAAGCACACGCTTGCTTAATCCAAGTAGACTATGTCTCTATTGTGTGAGACAGTACAGTATCGCTTCCATCTTCGGCATCATGTTTAACGTGCAAGTACGCTACTTGTAGAGCATCCAGTCATACCTGGTGGTGTTCCCATTTCAGCCGATGACTCACCAAGTGAACAGAGGCCAAAGTGAAACGAAAGAAAAGTCAGCTGACAAAACCATATTGTCGGAACAAGAACGCCTTATTGAACGTGGGCGCGCTCGAATTGCATATCTTGATCGGATTTTGCGAGCCAAACAAGCGGAAGAGAAAAAGGTTAGCTAACTTTGTGCAGTTTTAATTATGCTATATGGACTTGGATGGTGTTCTAACCATGGAGGCCATATAGGGTGCAACAACACTACTGCTTCAATTGTTTGGAAATATCTGTAGCTCGGATGAACGATTCCGTTGCTCATTTGTTCGCCGTGCTTGGCAAGTTGGCTGCAAACGTTTCGTCATCACTAGGGTGTCACAATTCGCTCGGTCGCGAAAAATTCTCCCAGACAAATCAAGACGTGTGTGCCACCAGTTATTCACTGAATATTATACCGATTATCGGGGCATTGTTCTTGGGGCCATTCAACTCAATTTAGCCCAGTGAGTACATCGATAAACAACCAAGCAGGGCGTAGGATATTTAGTATCGTCGATAATCTGTGTAGGGTCCAACACAGCGACTGGTAACGTCCACTCCAGGATTCGCGTGGTAAGACAAGCTGCAGTGTCTAACTTTCTGATATTTTTGTGTCACACCTGAAACTTTTGTTTTCTTCCATTTGCCATCCTGTGGGTCTTGTAAAGTTATTACTTTTTATCCCATCATACACTATTGAATTACTGAACTATTGAACGATAGGTCCATACGAAGTAGCGATTTTGAGTTTGACAGTTTAAGTCAAGTGTTTGATATATATATATATATGTATACATATATATATATATATATATATATATATGGTTGGCGGCATCCGCTTTCGGATTTGCCTCTCACTGTGGCCAGCCACAGGACGCCTGCGCCTACAGAGGGGACCATTGGTGGCTTGCGCTGCACCACCCACAGCTCCATCCACACACCCATATCCAGTGTAAACCCGAAGGAATAAGACCGAGAGACATGTGGATGGGAGCCACGTTTCATCCACGGACGTGACCCACAATCTTTCACAGACAAACACAAACACTCTGTATTTGGGAATCAAGCGCATACAAGGCGGTGGCTGGACCGTAGTCCGCTCCACACTGAGTGCATGGAACCACTCGTTGATCCTAACACGGCCACAAGAACCATGTACCCTGTCCCCTCCAGAAACAACACACTGTTTCCTGGAGCAAGTATAGATGAGGTAGTGGATAATAGAGAGGTAGGCACCTTGTCAATATGCACATCAAGCGCAGCCACACCTGGGATGTCAAACAACAGTCAATCATTTGAAAAGACAAGAAGAAATAAGATAAATCCAATAGTGCATGGAGATACGGCGATATAGCTCTTCGATAGACTAGCATATTAAGTAACTTGGTTAGCAACGAATCTGCGATTAGTAAAACTGTCCTCAAATTACTTAATCATGTTACAAATGCATTAAAGTTAACGAAGATAATCACAATCAGCGTAAGCAACTTGGCCAGTTAATACACGATTATTCAGGTAGGCAGAAAAAACCAAATAAAGTGGAATTAAATTATCCTTTTTAAAAAGACCTAATTTAAGTGTAAGTTGGTTTAGTCCAACTGCGGTGAAGAAGCACCAAGAAGGCAATATGATCTTCAGCATGGGGTATATATATATATATATATATTGGGCTCATATATATAAATCCTTTAATCATGCTACTTGATATCGGTTTAATTACTGGTGTTACGACACTTGGGTAGGATACCGACTATCACAAAATGCTTCCGAACGTTTTACTGACATGGAGAAGCACATATTATGTTCAATGTAGCTTCTACAACACGACTGTTAGGTCAGTCACACGCCCACATAGTGCTTGGACGGTCATATAGTAGGATGAAGCCGAGGTGTCTGTCGACACATCATATGTATTAGGTTGCATGAACATACCTCAAATTTGAGCAGCTTACGTGCTTTGCACACTAAATCTGGCTAATTATGTAGGGGCCTACGACGCAAGCCGGGAATGGGTCGTCAGCGGCAAACGATAGCGCGGCCACGCCGAGAAGAACAAGAGGCGACATGAAAGGGAGCCCGATTTTCTAAAGAGATATGCCTTTATCTACGGCCCCAGGAATCGGCCCGACCAGAGCAACACAGCCCAGAGCAAGCAAGTCGAGAGCTTTGGTACGAATCCAGTCTGGATAGGCTGCGACGCATGGGAGCAGAAATGTGGGCGGAAAACGGCACATTCAATGTCCACGTCGGATCAGCCTAATGGTGCTTAGTGGACACCACTTCACTCGGTGGAACGTGGTGCGTCGTAAGTGGGAAACGCGGCTAAATTTGTGTGTGTGTGTGTGTGTGTGTGTGTGTGGGACATGTGTGTGAACCTCTCAGCGTGCAATAAACAGCGTTCTCCCCTACCGTGTCGTTCTCGCTACACTGGTGCCCTGACCAGGATGAAAGTGCCGTGGCCTGCTCAATTTTCGGAGGGAGGCGCGGAGGCTTGGTTGGATGAGTTCGAAGGAATTGCGGCTTGCAACGGACTCAAAGGGGATGCGAACCTGCTTACGGCCTTGGGCACACTGTTATCCGGAAGAGCAAAAGCGACTTACCTGCTGACGCGTAAGTCGAAAGCTGGGAGCTCGTTTAACGAAGTAAAGGCAGCGTTGTGCGCGGAGTTTGCAAAAGAGATGGACCGACAGAAGGCACTGGAAAAATTTCACTCAGCAAAATGGGAAGAACAGGACGATTTGATGACATTTTTCCAGCAACTGGATAGGAACTTGACGATTGGGCTACCCGAATTAGGTGCGGCCGCCAAAGAAAGACTGTTGAAAGGACAATTGATTCAGAGCCTGCCGAAAGCTCTCCAGGATCAAGTGAAGCTGGCATCGATGGTCGGAGTGGTCAAGGCGGAGGAGCATGTGACAGTGGCGCAGAGTTTGGCGGAGCCGTTGACCATGGCCAGAATCAAGCCGTCGGAACTTGAACGCAAGGTGGACCAACTGACACAGATGGTGCAGAATTTATTGTCGGGAAATACACCAAGGATGGAAACGCAACGCAATGTCTACGGAAGCCGAAATGGCCGTCGCTGTTTTCGGTGTAACCGCAGTGGCGATCTGGCAAGGTTCTGTACGAACGCATACCTTTCTCATTGTTTTTCCTTATTCATTCCTAATAAGTGGAGGGTGCCTGTGGTAGACGTCATAATTCAGGGGGTGCCAGTTCGAACGGTAGTAGATACAGGGGCGGGGGCATCAATTACAAAAGGATGTGATGTGGTTCCCTTAGACCAATCGTCAGTCTCGTTGCAAACGGTCGGAGGCCATCAGTTGAAGGTAGCAGGCGTGCAACGGTTACAGTTGAGAATAGGAGAGACGTGTATTAGCCATTTGATGTTCATTATGGAGGGTGAAACGGAAACAATAATCGGTAATAATATCCTAAAACGACTGGGCGCTAGAATTGATCTAGGAAAGAATGTGATTTTCCTGGGCGGCGAAGCAAGCAACCTTAACGCAGGAAAATGTGGTCGTGTTGGGGCCGTACCTGTTCTGCCTGATTGCTCAAGTCGTACAATAAGGGAAAAGCTAGAGAGTTACGCGCACTTGTTCACGGACGCGAATGACGAATACGGCTTCTGTAACTGGATGGAACATCGGATACCGCTGGTCCCCGGGGGAAGATGTAAGCCAATATTCAGGAGAATTCCGCCAAAGATCCTACCTGAGGTGCAGAGGCAAGTAGCAGAGATGGAGGCAAAAGGCATTATTAGGCTCAAGCAGCCCGCATTCGTCGCCAGTTTTGTTGACGCGGAAAGCTGACGGTACATACCGTTTCTGCATTGATTTCAGAGAGCTGAACAAAGTAACCATGAAGGATGCGTTTCCGATGCCACAGATGGAGGAAATTTTTTCCAGTCTGCACAACGCCAAGCTGATCTCGTTAATAGACCTCCGCTCGGGATATTGGCAGTTGCCCATTGCAGAGGAGGATCGTCACAAAACAGCTTTTAGTGTAAACGGTCAGCAGTACGAATTTTTGAGAATGCCTTTTAAGTTGTGCAATGCTTCCGCCACATTCAGACGACGGCTGCTAATGATTTTGGAAAACCTCCAAGGAGTGGTAGTTTACCGAGACGACATCGTGATATTCTCCGAGATCGAACATGAGCGTTGTAGCAAACCCGCAGCCGTACTACAACGACTGAAGGAAGCCGGTTTGAAGCTTAGCCGTAAGAAATCACAGATAGCGAGGAGGTCGATCGTGTGCTTGGGTCACATCGTGGGGAACGGTGAAATACAGCCGCTGCCAGAGAAACGGGAAACGATCCAGAATGTTCCAGCCCCTAACTCCAAACGCCAGCTTCGTTCCTTCCTGGGAGTTGTGGCATATGAATCAAAATTCGTCCCTCACTTTGCAGAGACCACCAGTCCATTATTGAAGTTGCTGCAGAAGGATCAACCATTCGTGTGGTCAACCTAGGCAGAGGAAGCATTCAATCACATCAAAACTTGCGTGGCGGAATCTCCAAAGTGCTTGCGGTTACCCAATCCGAGTGAAAAATTTACGGTGGCAGTTGATGTTAGCGACGTCGCAATCAGTGCGGTACTTTCCCAGCCATCGGGGGTCGTAGAATATGCCAGCCGAGTGCTGACGACTGCCGAGCAGAAGTACTCAACAACAGAGAAGGAATGTCTAGCTATGGTATGGGCCCTGGAAAAGTGGAGGACATACCTGTTAGCGAATGAATTCCACATCTTGATGGACCACAAACCGCTCTCAAGGTTGATGACAACGAAGGATCCGCGAGGACGTCTTGCACGATGGGCATATCGACTCCAAGAATTTACCTTCACCATTAGACACGTGGATGGGACGAAGAATGTGACACCTGATATGCTGTTGCGGCCGTTGTTGGACGACGTCATACCGGACACTGCTACACCAGTGTGTGCAGTCACAGTTGGGAGGGACACGCTACTCGAAATTCAAAGGAAGGATAAACTGGTGCAGTCGCTGTGTAGCCATTTACAATTGGATACCAAACCGGATGCCACATCGGGGGAAATGGAGGATCTCGTCAGGATCTGGGACAGGCTGTGCACAGTAAACGGTAAGTTGCTGGTGCAGACAAACGGAATGAGAC